AGATTTATTTATTTACTTGAAAGAGTTACACAGAAAAAGAAGGAGAGGCAGAGATAGAGAGAGAGAGAGAGGGAGAGAGAGGTTTTCCATCCGCTGGTTCACTCCCCAGTTGGCCACTACAGCCGGAACTGTGCCTAGCCAAAGCCAGGAGCCAGAAGTTTCTTCCAGGTCTCCCACGAGGGTGCAGGGGCCCAAGGACTTGAGACATCTTCTACTGCTTTCCCAGGCCATAGCAGAGAGCGGAATCAGAAGTGGAGCAGCTGGGACTCGAACTAGCACCCATATGGGATGCCAGCACTGTAGGTGGCAGCTTTACCTGCTACACCACAGCGCCAGCCCCAACCCCATACATTTTCTTGCTCAAACTTTTGGATCATTGCATGACTGGTAGGTTAACAAAATGATATTTCAGGCTAGTTTACTGGACATTATTTTGGTTTTTAATTTTTAAAATTTACTTGAAAAGCAGAGAGAAAGAGATCCTTCATCTACTTGGTTCACTTTCCAAATGCCCGCAACAGCCAAGGATGGACCAGGTCAAAGCCAGGATCCAATTCAGGTGTCCCATGTGGATGGCAGAGACTCAAGTACTTGAGCCATCACCTGCTGCCTCTCAGGGTGCACACAGCAGGAAGTTGGAATTGGGAGTGGAGCCAGCACTGGAACCCAGACACTCAGATATGGGATGCACATGACCCAGGTGGCTTCTCTTTCCTGCACCATAATTAGCATTTCCTTCATGAGTGAAGTTATCTTTCAACATAGAGCCATCTGTTTCCTCCTTTGGGAACAATTTAAGTTAGGAAGACTTCATCTGGTCCTCCATGTGGGCAGCAAGGACCCAAGTACTTGCCATCTTTTGCTACTTTCCCAAGTGAATTGGCAGGGAGCTGGATCAGAAGTGGAGCAGCTATGACCTGAACTGGCACTCATTTGAGATACTGGTGGCAGCTTTACTTGCTGCACCACAACACCAGCCCATGGTAAAAAAAGAGAGAGAGAGAGAGAGAATTAGCATTTCTTTTTAGACTGCTTTCCTCCTCACTTTTCTTGGTAGGTGTGGAATATTTTTAATTTCAGATATCAAATCAGTTCATCCAATTTTTTTTTAAAGATCTACTTATTTATTTGGAAGTGTGTTAGAGAGAGGGACAAGATAGAGAAAGAGAGCTCTTCCATCTGCTGCTTCCATTCCCCAAATGGCTGCAGGGCCAGCGCTGGGCCATGCGGAAACCAAGACCAGGAGCTTCATCCAAGTCTCCCACGTGGGTGGTAGGAACCCAAGCACTTGGGCCATTTTCTACTGCTTTCCCAAGAGCATTAACAGGGAGTTGGATTGGAAGTGGAGCAGCTCGAACTCAAACCACTGCCTATATGGGATGCCTGAGTCATAGGCAGCGGCTTAACCTACCATGTCACAAGCCCAGTGCCCAATTTAAAGTTTCTTAAATGAAAAAAATAAGACATATATGCATAAAAATTGTATTCTCAAAGTTAATTTGCCAACCTAGTTTATCATTGTCTGGACTTGCTGTGTGTTTTTTTTTTTTTTTGGTTTTATTTGTTTGTTTTGCTTTTTTTGTTTATCCTATCCCATGCTTTTCCTTAGGCTAAAATTTTCTTGTGCATGTGTGTCCTAGTATAATTCCTTGTACTGGGTCATTGGGGGTAAACCTTTTGGCTTCTTTGCATATAAAAATTGTTTTCATTTTGCCTTTAATCTTCCGCAGTTTTACCAGGCATATACTTTTAGGTTGACAATCATTTTACTCCTGGCCTCTCTCACTGTTGATGAGAAATGTGCTCTCATCTGATTATTTTTCCTTTATACATATGCTGCCTGCCTCTCTGATGCTTTATAATTTAATTTTTATGTTGTTATGGTTCACTATGGTATGTCCAGGTTTGGATATGGCTTTTATTCTGCTTGGTTCACTTTCTTTTGAGGACCCAAGGCTGTCTTTAGTTCTGGGACATTTGTATCTATTATTTCTCCCAGTATTATTTGTATTTCATCCTTTTGGTTCTCGAAATAGACATATGTTGGAGCTTTTCAATCTGTCCCCAATAATAACTGCTTATTTTCTCATGTTTTTTATTCTCCTTTTTGTTCCCTTAAAGGGGAGTTCTTTTGAGGGATTGAGTTAGACAAGGGCGAGCTCCCATTGGCTGCTTGACTCCCCAAACACCTGCAAGGGCGGGGACTGGGGTGAAATCTGGAGCTAGAAACCCAATCCAGATGCCCACACGGGTGGCAGGGACCTAACTACGTGAGCCATCACCTGCTTCCTCCCAGGAAGATGCATTATCAGGAAACTGGAGTCAGGAGCTGGAGCTGGAGCTGGGTGTCTAAGCTACTTCAATGTGGGACTTAGGTCCTAAATGGCATCTTAACCTCTTAGCCAAATGCTTGCCCCAAGGGTGAATTCTTGAGTACTGTTTTCTAATTCTAGTTTTATATCATCTATTGCATTTTATTTATTTATTTTTAAATATTTATTTTATTTGAAAAGAATCGTCAGAGAGAGAGGGAGAATTACAGAGAAAGGGAGAGTCAGAGAGAGATCGATCTTCCATTTACTTTTTTTATTTACTTCCTGAATGGCTGTAACAGTGGGGACTGGGCCAGGCTCATGCCAGGAGCCAGGAACTCCATCCTAGATTCCCATGTGTGTTACAGGAACCCAATTACTTGGGTCATCTTCTGCTGTCTTCCCAGGTGCATTAGCAGGAAGCCAGATAGGAATTGAGTAGCCAGGACTGAAACCCTCACTCCAGTATGGGATGCTGCTGCCTTAAAGGTCCCTGTTTTTGGTTTTAAATTTCATTTTATAATATATATATATATTTATTTTTGTCTTATTTTTATAGAGAGAGGAGAGGTAGAGAGAGAGAGAGAGAGAGAATCTTCCATCGATTGTTCTCTCCCCAATTAGCCGCAACGGCTGGAGCTGTGTTGATCCGAAGCCAGGAGCCAGAAGCTTCTTCGGGTCTCCCCCAGGGGTGCAGGGGCCCAATGACTTGGGCCATCTTCTACTGATTTCCCAGGCCATAGCAGAGAGCTGGATTGGAAGAGGAGCAGCCGGGTCTTGAACCGGCGCCCATATGGGATGCTGCTGCTTCAGGCCAGGGCGTTAACCCGCTGCGCCACAGTGCTAGCCCCAATATAATGTATTTTTAAAATTATTTATTTGAAAGAGAGACCAAAAAAAAAAAATCCAGATATACAGAGATTCTCCATCTGTCCGTTTACTCCCCTAATGCCTACAACAGTCAGAGCTGGACCAGGCTGTGGCCAGAAGACTGGAACTGTATCTGGGTCTCCTCTGTGGGCGGCAGGGACCCATGCACTGGAGTCATCACCTGCTGTTCCCCAGAGTGAGCACCAGAAAGAAGCTGGAATTGGAAGTGGAGCTGGGACATGAACCTAGGCACCCTCCCATGGGATGCTGACCTCCCAAGTAGTACTTCAGCTGCTGTGCTGAATGTCTGCTCCATTTTTTTTTTTTTTTTTAAATTTATTTGACGGATAGTTAGACAGTGAGAGCGAGGGACAGAGAGAAAGGTCTTCCTTCCGTTGGTTCACCCCCCAAATGGCTGGAACTACGCTGATCCAAAGCCTCGAGCCAGGTGCTTCCACCTGGTCTCCCATGCAGGTGCAGGGCCCAAGCACCTGGGCCATCCTCCATTGCCCTCCCGGGCCATAGCAAAGAGCTGGACTGGAAGAGGAGCAACCAGGACTAGAACCCGGCGCCCATATGGGATGCAGGCACCGCAGGCGGAGGATTAACCAAGTGAGCCATGGCGCCTGCATCTTTTGATATTTTAAATTTAAATACTTAAATATTGTGTCCAAGATAATTGGCTTTTCTTATATTAATGTTTTTTTTTTGTGTAACTTTTCCTATAAAAATGTTTAATTTATTTGCATCAGTTTATCTTTTTTGAGCATTCTTACTTATAGAGATTTGCCAAAATCCTCCAAAAAATAATTTCATCTGGGGGTAGGCATTTGGCCCAGAGGTTAGGATGGGCTTGGGATGCCCACATCCCATGATGGAGTAGCTGTTTATGCTGCAGCTTCCTACAAATGTGCACTCTAGGAAGAAACACTGATGGCTCAAGTAGCTCGTTCCCAGCCACCTATGTGGGACACCTGGATTGAGTTCCTGCCACTTAGCTTCAGTCTGGCTCATCTCCAGCTGTTGTGGGCATTTGGGGTATAAGTGAACCAGCAGATGAAAGATCTCTCTCTGTTCTTCTCTCTCGCTTTTGCTTTTCAAATAAATAAAAAAATTATTAAAAAATTAATTTCTTCTTTAGTTACTTCATGATCTTTTTTTCCCCTCCCATTTTGTGCCTATCTATCTTACCATTATATTTATTGTAGTGTTTTGGAATTTTGTTGTTCTGGAGGGTTTAAAGAGTGTTTTTCCTTCTTCCTGTGCACCTATTACCTATCTAACAAGTTCTTAGTTTCTTATTGGATCCTCTGTTCTTGCTAGCTAGGACCTTTGCAGTGTTCAGGTGGTCTAAAAAATATCCCAATAGAGTCAGGCATTTGGTACAGTGGTTAAGATGCACCTTGGGATGCCTGCATCCCATAGCAGAGTGCCAGGGTTCAAGTACTGGCTCTGCTTCTGATTCTAGCTTCCTGCTAATATGTACCCTGGGAGGCACCAGATGTTGGCCTAAGCATTTGGATCTCTGACACACACACATGTGAATCCTGGATTGAGTTCTGCTCCTGGCTTTGGCCTGGTCCAGCCCAGCCCAGCTCTTGCAGACATTTGGGGAATGAGTCAGTGATGGAAGATCTCTTTGTCTCTGTTTCTCTGCCTTTCAAATAAATAAAAAAAGAATGATATATAATTTATTACCCAGTTGAAAATGTAATTGTGAAATTACCCAAGTGGGGGTAGAAAATGAAAAGAGAAATTCATTTTGTTCAATATTCTTTGGTGCTTTTGTATCATAATCTTGATTTTTTATTATTTCAGAAGCTTTGAAGAATCTGAAAATGAGCTGAGAGATGAAATAGTAGAATCCCTAGAAAAACTCTCCATCTCTGAAGAGGAAGAACAAAGGGAAGGGGATTCTGGTTACTGTAAGGATTCTGAAAAGTTAGAAGAGAGAAGATAGGCATGCTGAAATGTCAAGAGTTGAATGAAGGTTTGGAGACTGTTTCTACTTCAGCCGATGACAGTTATTTGTGTTGTTAATGAAGCCCAAGGATCATCAATAACCAGTCAAAATACACTGGTGTGATTATTCTGTTTTCTTCAGTCATATTCACTTACTGTTAGTCTTCCAGTAATCCCAAGGATTTATTTTTTCACCTGAGACCAACTGAATGTAAATATTAATATTTTACCTTAATATTTCAATTAAGAAAGCTCCCAAATAATTTACATGATAGGCAGAATAAGTTGGCTCAGGATAGGTGTTTGGTGTAGCAGTTAAGCTACTGCTCACTGGGAGACCCTAGGTTCAAATCCTTTCTCTCCTCTCCATTACAGCTTCCTGATGCACATCCTGAGTAAGCCAGTATGGACATTTTGACAATACTGATGCTTTGAATCTGTGAACGTGGGATGTCTTTCCATTTCTTTGTGTCCTCTTCCATTTCTTTCATCAGTGACCCTGGTGATGTTTTTTCAACTTGGTGTACAATAGCTACCAAGTTGATTATTGTTTAAATGATACCAACATGTGTATTAACCCTCAACCTCACTTCTAAGTGTCTTGTGACATGTACATATGGCCCAAGTGAGCACACAGAACTACAACACTGGAACTGATGCTTCTCCAAAGCCAAGGATGGCCTTAGATTTAAGGTGGAGAAAGCGGGAAAAAGAGTTAGCAGAGGAGCAGTGGGATGGAGGGTGGGATGGGAGGAAATTACAGGGATGTAATTTGTTTCTAGAAACTTGTATAACTTAGTGTTTGTAGTTGTGTAATAGAAGTAACTTTTCTGTTGTACTCATGGAAAGATTTAGCAAGACATACTCTTGTTTACTTATTTTATTCATATTAAGTCTCAGAGTTTAGGGTCCATTACATAATTAAAAATAAATATTCTGAAATCACTGATAATCACATTAGTCTGTATCATAATTTTGCTTATTGATGACCTTATAAAATACCCTGAAAGTTATTAAAATAAATGTATGAAGCACTGTAATTTTTTATGTTTGAAATAGTCATTAAAAAGATTATTAAACTTGACAACCAATTCTTATGTATCACAAGTGAGGCAAACTTTTACTTTTCTTTCTTCTTTAAAAAAAAAATTTCTTGGCATAAGAGCTTGGAGACACCAGAATTGGGAAAATTGGGAGACAACATAAAGGGTATAAAAGGCATCCGGGAAAAGTACCCAAGATAATGGAAAATCACTCCTTCAAATATATTTAGACAAAAAAAGAGTTTATATCTGACTTTTAAAAAAGATTTTAGCTCTCACATATAAGGGGGAACATAACAGTATTTGTCTTTTTGTGTCTTACTTCACTCAACATGATGTCCTCCAGCTCCAGCCATTTTGCTGCAAATGATAGGATTTCCTTCTTTTTTTTTTTTTTTTTTTAGCGGAATGAAGAAAATGTGGTGTGTACACATACACACAATAGAATGTCATTCAGCTATAAAACTGTATTAGCTCTAAATCATATTTAGGTATAAAGAGATTATTATATAACAATGCACTAGAAATAAGAATGTGAATCTCCCCCTGCTGTGGGTTCAGTATGTAGCATATTTGGACCACTCAAAAGCAACCTCTCAGAAGTTCTCTAGACACACAGTAGCTGACATACTGTTTGGACAGTTTTTATGATTATCAGCCATTTACAAAAAAACACAATCCATGTACTACATTAGGAACGCTGGAAGTGTATAGATACATGAGAATCATTTTGGAGAAAGAGGCTTAAGCAATGTTTCATGGAATTCCAGAATCCCTTCTTCCTTCACCACATCCTCTATCTTTGCTGTATTTCAATTTCTCTATCTTTAGTTTCACAGTTTTCTTTGTGTAGATGGGTTGGCTGAATGGGTAACAGTATGAATCTTACCTCAGTGACTCCCTCTACAACAAGACCTAGCATAAGATTAGGAGTAACACCAGGTTACAATCTGGATTCTGTCCTAAAATAGCTTTGTGATACTGAAGGAGTCTACTAAGTTCATTAGGTTTAAATGTTTTTATTAGGACGTGCCTTTGGCACAGTGGTTAAGATGCCACCTAGGATACTTACATCTCATATTGTAGTGCCTGGGTTCAAGTCCTGCCTCTGTTCCCAATTCCAGCTTCCTGCTAATGGGCACCCTGGGAGGCACAGCGATGGCTCAAGTAGCTGCGTCCCTGCCGTTCATGTGGGAGATTAGACTATGTCCCTGGTTCCTGTCAGGGCCCAGCCCAGGCTTGTTGCAAGCATCTAGGTTGTAAACCAGCAGATGGGAGGTCAGTCTCTTCTCTGCCTCTAAAATAAAATAAACTTTAAAATTCTATTTTATTTTTTAAAGTGTTCTTGTCTGTGAAGTTGGAAATAAGAGAAAACCAGACTAGAGACTTTGTGGGGCTCCTCCCAGCTCTGATTTCCACAAGTCTTCCTCTTCTAAACTGAATCATCTGCTACACAAAGCTATGCTGGTGTCTTGGCACATCCTGGGACTCTCTCTTCTGCTGCTTTTGTGAGCTGATAACAGAAGATGGCCTGCACGTGAATCAACAACATAACTGGGAGTATAAAATGAAGTGGGGGGTGGAGGGGTAGCGCTGTGGTATAGTGGGTAAAGCTGCCACCTGCAGTGCCAGCATCCCATATGAGCACAGGTTCGAGTCTCGGTTGCTCCACTTCCCGATCCAGCTCTCTGCTATGGCCTGAGAAAGTAGAAGATGGTCCAAGTCCTTGGGCCCCTGTACCCACGTGGGAGACCCAGAAGAAGTTCCTGGCTCCTGACTTTGGATCGGCCCGGCTCTGACTGTTGTGGCCATTTGGGGAGTGAACCAGCAGATGAAGACCTCTCTCTCTGCCTCTGCCTCTCTGTAATTCTGCCTTTCAAATAAATAAATCAATGTTAAAAAAAAAAAAAAAATGAAGCCAGGCAAGTTGAAGGACCTCTTTCACATACCCCAACTCAAAGACTAATCAGACTGAGAAGCAGGTCAAATCACTGAAGTGGAAGAAACTGATTACATATATAGCAAATGCCAGAAGTTGTAGGTCTTTGTAGCCTTATCTGCACACACGTACATTCATGTCTCCACACTAGTTATTCAGGATAGAGGTGGTATTAAATTTCTACTGATTCTGAACTACTGGCTTAGTAACCAAGAATCTACATAGAGTTGTGATACATTTAAACACAGGAGTACAGAAGATATTTACTGAATATTTTTACCTTTAATTGAAATAACTTATAATTTTCAAAGACGTATCCTATGCTTTCCATTTCAGTATCACAACTCTAAAAGGTGGTGAGACCGGCATCAACACTTCCAGATTACAGGCAAAGAGCCTGAGTCTCAGGAGATTAGGGAGCAGCGCTGGTGTCAAAAGGCAGACAGACATCTGCAGAGGAGGAGGCTGAGGTCAGACCCGGATGTTAGCTGCCACTTCAGCCAGAGCTCCTCTCAGAATGCCACCTTGCCATCTACTTAGATTTCTTAGCTTTCTCTCTTTTTGTCTTTCCTCCTCTCTCTAACTCTGCCTTTCAAATAAATAAATTTAAAAAAATTATTTTTTCGGGGCTAGTGATGTGGCATAGCAGGTAAAGCTGCTGCCTGCAGTGCTGGCATCCCATATGGGTGCCAGTTCCAGTCCCAGCTGCTCCACTTTTTTTTTTTTTTTTTTTTTTGGACAGGCAGAGTTAGTGAGAGAGAGAGAGACAGAAAGAAAGGTCTTCCTTCCGTTGGTTCACCCCCCAAATGGCCACTACGGCCAGTGCGCTGCACCGATCCGAAGCCAGGAGCCAGGAGCTTCCTCCTGGTCTCCCATGCGGGTGCAGGGCCCAAGCACTTGGGCCATCCTCCACTGCCTTCCCGGGCCACAGCAGAGAGCTGGACTGGAAGAGGAGCAACCAGGACAGAATCCGGCGCCCCGACTGGGATTAGAACCCGGGGTGCCGGCGCCGCAGGCGGAGGATTAGCCTAGTGAGCTGGTTCACTCCCTGGCCACTGTGGCCATCTGGGGAGTGAACCAACGATGGAAGACCTATCTCTCTGCCTCTGCCTCTCTGTAACTCTGCCTTTCAAATAAATAAATAAATCTTTAAAAAAATATTTTTTCTCAGATCCCATATTTTTCAGAAATTTGAGACCAAATTTCAGAAATCAAGAACAAACACTATAATTCTCACTTTTAAGCTATATGCCTTTTTACCTTGAACTATAAGCTTTTCCAATTAGGTAATTCTGCCTTTTTTCATTGAAATAAATACCTTGCCATATAAATACTGCTCAGGCTGAATTTATTATAAAAGTTTCTCTAATTTGCACGGATATACCATTATTTAAATAACCTCTCCACGGACGACAGGAATGCCATTTCAAACTCCTGATCAGAGAATCTGCTTACAGATGCACGCGCACTGTTTCTGATTTGGAGTCTCTTTTCTGCAGACAGGGAAAGAATATGAGCCATTGTCTCAGCATAGCCTTCTTCAGTCTCAGCCAGAAATCCAGTTATTTGTCCATCATGAGGAACGACAATGTCGAGCTTCGGGCCCCCTGAGTTATGCGCCAGGATAATTGTGCCAGCTGCCATACACTCCACAATGCCTAAGAAAGAAACAACACAGTCTTTTACATTTCTGAGTGTGTTCCTAAGAACAAGGATGAGCAAAAACTTTCAAAAATGTTAAGAAACTCATGAGAAACTTAATTAAATGATGATATGGTTATAAATGGGCTCACTTAACTTCCTTGGTGCAAAACAAAATAATTCTGAGTTTTTGAGTTTTCAAAGCTTCCTAATAGTCCTGCTTCATTCTTAATTGAAACAGACAAGTAAGGGTGGGCGCTTGGCCAGGTGGTTAAGATGCTGGTTGGCACACCTACATCCTATATCAGAGTGCCTGCACTTGATTCCTGGCTGTGGCTCTTGACTCCAGCTTCCTGCTAATGTGGACCCCAGGAAGGCAGCAGTGGTGGCTCAAATAGCTCAGCTCCCAGCACCCATGTGGGAGTGATTCTCAGCTTCAGCTTTGGCCCAGCCCAACCCTGGCTGTTGTGGGCATTTGGGGAGTAAACCTGCCAGCTGGAAGTGTCTGCTCTCAAGTAAATCAATCAATCAATAAAGCTTTCAGAGATGGTAGAATTTGATCAGATTAGAAAGACGAAAGGTATCAAACACAAAATCTTAAGAGCTTACATTAGCAGAAAAAAGAAAAAAAAAAATGCAAACTCCTGAAACACTGCCACTGAGAAGTGTTTATGTAGCTGCCTGGATTTCTGGCATATATAAGAGCACTGGGTGCCCAGGAGTAGCTGAACTAAATGGAAGTTATGATTAGTTTCTGCCAAATGATAGAGAGCTTCCAAAGGTTTATGGAAAATGGAATGAAAAGAGAACTTGGCAGAGCTGGCGGAATGACAGCAGATAACATGCATTTCCACGAACTTTTTGAAGCCCTCTTGAAATTACTTTAGCCAGGCTCTATCAGTTGGGTTCCAAGAGGGAAATCAGGTTCTTCAGAATATGACTGAAGTGATTCCAGTCTCTGAAGGATGGTACAGAGGTGAATCATTCAGCTTGCTCGCACCTCCTGCTGGGGTTGCTGCAGCAGCCCAGCTCAGCCTCCTGCCTTTCCAGTCTTGCTCTCTGCTCCTCACCAAGACTCCCCACACGGCAGCCACAGTGGGCTCTGGAAACAGAAAGCTTTGAAATGCAATACTTGAGACCGGCGCCGCGGCTCAATAGGCTAATCCTCCGCCTGTGGCGCCGGCACACCGAGTTCTAGTCCTGGTTGTGGCGCCGGATTCTGTCCCAGTTGCCCCTCTTCCAGGCCAGCTCTCTGCTGTGGTTCAGGAGTGCAGTGGAGGATGGCCCAAGTGCTTGGGCCCTGCACCCCATGGGAGACCGGGAGAAGCACCTGGCTCCTGCCTTCGGATCAGCGCGGTGCGCCGGCCGTGGTGGCCACTGGAGGGTGAACCAAGGGTAAAGGAAGACCTTTCTCTCTATCTCTCTCTCTGTCCACTCTGCCTGTCAAAAAATAAATTAAAAAAAAAAAAAAAAGAAATGCAATACTTGAAACACTTCTGTCCCTTCCCCTTGGGTTGGCCAGATAACCTCTCTGTTGTCCCGTGGTTCCTTCTGTAGGGTCAGGCCACGTTGAACTCTCAGTCCCTAGAATGTGCCTGCTGACTCTCCTGTTGTCTGTCACTCCTATCCTAGTGCTGTTCTTTCTGCTGGATGTCCTCTCTCTTGCCTAATTTTAATTATTCTAATTATTGTTCAGGCTCTAGCTTGAGTGTCACATCACTTCTTGGGCAACTGTCCGTGCCCCTTTGAGTTCTGTATCCAGGCTTTCTCTGAGGTGCTTCCTCGTTACCTGGGACTTCCCTGGCACAGCACCTGGCACCCTGTGCAGCATGTGCCTGTGTGGCTTGTTGGTACCACCCCCAAGCCAGAAGCCTCTGAAGGCCAGAGCGGCTCCCTCAGTCTTGTTCCCTGCACCTGCCTGCCGAAGTATCCAGCACAGGGAGAATGACTAAGTGCGTATCTGTGGAAGGAAGCACAGGAGGTCAGACCACAGGCAGGAGGGTTGTTTTGACAAGTTCTTCTGAATCTGGCATAATACTGTGCTACTAACTAGGGATTCAAAAAGAGTATAAGGGAAATTGCAGTCCTAATACAGGAAACTTCATATTGTGGTCTCCTATTTCCCCCAAACAACTAGCACTGTGTGGCCAAAGTAGGCACTTGAGAAATAAATGCTGAGGGCAGGCGCTATGGCATAGTGAGAAAAGTCATGGTCTGAGATGCCAGCATCCCACATGGGTGCTGACTCGAGTCCTTGGCTGCTCCACTTCCCATCCAGCTCCCTGCCAATGCGCCTGAGAAAGCAGCAGCAGATGACCCAACTGCTTGGGCCCCTAACACCTATGGGGAGACCCAGATGAAGCTCCTGGCTTCCGATTTCAGCCTGGCTCAGTGATGGCTACCTGGGGTGTGAACCAGTGGATGGGAGGTCTCTGTCTCTTCCTCTCTCTCCAACTCTTTCAAATAAATAAATAAATCTTATATATAAAAAAAAGAAATGCCAAGCCAAATTAAATACAAAGCAGTGCTCAATTTTATACTAAAATATATGCTAAATAGGATGTCTGAATAAAGACAGCAATTTGTGTTAGAATAAATAAGAAAGGACAAAGGTATGGAAATTTAAATTGAAAACTGATAATGGGATCCGGCGCCACGGCTCAACAGGCTAATCCTCTGCCTGCGGCGCTGGCACACCGGGTTCTAGTCCCAGTCGGGACACCGGATTCTGTCCCTGTTGCCCCTCTTCCAGGCCAGCTCTCTACTGTGGCCCGGGAGGGCAGCGGACGATGGCCCAGGTCCTTGAGCCCTGCACCCGCATGGAAGACCAGGAGAAGCACCTGGCTCCTGGCTTTGGATCAGCGCGGTGCGCCAGCTGCAGCGGCCATTGGGGGGTGAACCAACGGAAAAGGAAGACCTTTCTCCCTGTCTCTTACACTGTCCACTCTGCCTGTCAAAAGAAAAAAAAAAAAAAAAAAGAAAATTGATCATGGGATTTGGCAGAGAAAAGGGAAGGCCATTGTAATAATAAGTATAGACTCAAATAAGGACCAAAAGAATTATGATGAGAAGCCCATCCGGAGATGGTGGTTCTCGGCTTTTGATGAAATACCTGTACCTGGGCATCACCCACAGATTCTGATTTGGCCATTCATAGGATTATATTTGGGCAAGGAATCTGTAGCAGTACAAAGATGGGGTTAGGTGTGGAGTGACAACATGGTAGCTAACAGCAGGGACTTGGTAGGCATTGTGGTAGAGTGGGTTAAGCTGCTGCTTGGGATATCTGAATTCTATATAGAAGTGCCTGGGATCCAGTCCAGCCCTGTTTCTGCTTCATTATCCTGCTAATGTTCTAGGGGGGGCAGCAGATAAGGGCTCAAGTACTTGGGTTCCCGCCATCCACATGAGAGACCTGGATGGAATTCCTGGCTTCTGGCTCTGGTCTGGCCCAGCCGTCGATGTTGTAGGCATTTGGGGAATGAGTCAGGAGATGGAAAATCTCTCTTCCTCTTCCTATCTCTCCCACTCTCTTGTCATTCTTCCATTTAAATAAACAAATAAATAAATCTTAAAAAAATTAAAAAAAGCAAGAGCTATCTGGGTTAGAATCTGGGTACTACCCAGATTACTTACTTAACTGTTTGACCTTGAGCAATTTCTAAACCTCTGGGTGCCTCAGTTTCCTTATGTATAAAATAAGAATAAGTGTACTACTTACCAAGTAGCATTTTAGGGAAGATTAAACTATATATTACTTGTAAAAACCCAAGACAGTGATTTGTACACAGTGAGTGGTTGATAAATATTAGCTGTTACTATTAACTATCATCTTATAGGGCCTCGAATGAGGACAGCATCCTTTGGGAATTAAAGAGAGAATTAGGGCCTGATGCGGACTTCCAGAGAATTATAATTTCGTCAGCAAAAGCTAAAATGTACATCTCGTGCCACCAAACAACAGAACAGACTCACCAATCCCAAAATGCTCATTCCACATGGTATGCAGACCGATTGTTGCTTTGGACAAGTACTTCTTCAGTTCATCAAATGGGATGTTTATTTTAAATTCCACATCTTCTTGAATGCCTAACTCCTCAGACAGCCTTCTCAGCTGATTTACCCTAAGTTCATCATCCTTGTTCCGACAACCTCCAATGAGGACAAGTTTCAGTGAAGGAGGTGACTCCACCACCTTCTTACTCAGCAATTTAGCAAAGGCTCTGATCTGCAAAGGATGATTCTTTTCGGGCCTGAACTGCCCGACGGAAACCAGCAGATGCTCTTGGGTCATCTCTTCCTCATGTAAGGGAATGTCCAGGAATGTCTGCACGTCACAAGGTGGGTAGACAACGTTAGTGCAATTCCCAACCTTCCACAGTGACAGAATATGGTTTAGTGTCCAGGAAGAATTGACCATGACTGTGTCACTGCAAGAACCAACAAGTCCATAAATAAAAGCAAATAGATGGTAGTAGATGAGCTTTGCTTTGCTGAGGAAAGCATTTTTGGTAATAAAAGCTGCATTATTAAATCCAACATTTTGATTCTTCACTACAGAGAGCATGTCAGTGCTGATGGTGGGATAATGAACGTAGCTTCCAACTCGGCAACCTCCTACATACTTAAACAGAGGAAGCGTGAAAGCGTATCCCATTGAATCAATGTAAACATCAGGGACACACTGCATGAGCGCTTCCCAGCCAAGAAAAATGGATCCAAGACTTTGGCCCAACAGTGTGAAGTGAGGATAGCGTGAATCTTCCACAAGGTAGCGTTTCTTTAAGAAAACAAACTGCACTGGGTGAACCAATCTGATGTTAAATCTTCTGAAGGCACCTTCTAGTATCTGTTGACCGCTGACATTAATATCGCCAGTATAAACAACATAAACTGCTTCAGGATATCTAAAACAGAATATAATAGTTAAGATGTCATTAATTCACATTAACACCAAACAAAAAGTTGTAGATAATTATTTTCTCATGATCATAAAGAAACGTTTTTATATTAAAAATGTTTTCCACTATTTTTCATTCATTGCAATTGAACTATGGACCTCATCCTTTTGTGAGTCTTCCACTGCCCAATGACAACAACTAAAATTATTAGTCCTTCATGACTCTGCATTATGGTCTGAACGTTTGTGTCACCTCAAAATTGCTATGTGGAAGCCTAATCCCCTGGATGGTGGGAAGGGGAGGGGCCTCTTAATGAGGATTAATGCCTTTATTTATTTGAAAGGCAGAGTGATTGAGAGACAGAGAGACAGAGAGATCTTCTACCTGCTGATTCACTCCCTAAATGGCTGCAACAGCTACGATTGGGCCAGGTTGAAGCCAGGAGCCAGGAACTCTATCTAGTTCTGAACATGGGTGGCAAGTGCCCAAGTACTTGGGCCACCATCTATCTGCTGCCTTCCTAGGTCATTAGTAGAGAGCTGGATTAGAAGTAGAGCAGCTGGAGGCCGGCGCCGCGGCTCACTAGGCTAATCCTCCGCCTAGCGGCGCCGGCACACCGGGTTCTAGTCCCGGTCGGGGCGCCGGATTCTGTCCCGGTTGCCCCTCTTCCTGGCCAGCTCTCTGCTGTGGCCAGGGAGTGCAGTGGAGGATGGCCCAGGTGCTTGGGCCCTGCACCCCATGGGAGACCAGGAAAAGCACCTGGCTCCTGGCTCCTGCCATCGGATCAGCGCGGTGCGCTGGCCGCAGCGCGCCAGCCGCGGCGGCCATTGGAGGGTGAACCAACAGCAAAGGAAGACCTTTCTCTCTGTCTCTCTCTCTCACTGTCCACTCTGCCTGTCAAAAAAAAAAAAAAAAAAAAAAAAGTAGAGCAGCTGGGACTTGAACTGCTGCTCGATATGGGAGGTTGCTGTAGCGAGTGATGACTTAACTTGCTGTGCCACAGTGCTAGCCCCTGATTAGTACCTTTATAAAGGAGGCCTAAAGGAGCTTGCTTGTCTCTTTCGCTACACAAGGACAGAAAAAGATGGTGCCATTTATGAAGCAGAGTGAGCTCTCACCAGATACCAGATCTGTTGGTCCCACCATCTTGGACAGTGGAGGGAATTATGTGTGAAGGCTTTGGAACAGAATCAAAGGCATGTTCCCTAAAGTAGGGTACCATGGAAGGATAATCAGTTTTGTCAGATGATAAAGCAATAATGGAAACTATACTTTACTATGCTTTTTCCTCTCTGAAAGGGAATCAAATATTTTGAAGGTGTAAGGGGCAGGGGTAAGGAAACCTAAAACATTAAATGATGTGTGACACCATATTCCTTTTAACACAGTACCTTAAGACCATCCAAATGGTGATGGTATTAAAATTAGAATCAATGTATAAATACTTTCATAAAGATTATTCCTATGTTCCTGCACTGACTAAAGTGTTCAGGTTTAAAGAGTTCTGCAATACTTGGTACATATCTGTTAATTATTTAATCTCTTCCGTATACATTCTCCTAACATGACTGGTTATCCTCATAAAATTCTCCCACAAAAGCAGATGTAAGGGGGTTGGCATTGTGGCATAGTGGGTAAAGTTACCACCTGTGACACCGGCCTCCCATGTGGGCACCAGTTCATGTCCAAGCTGCTCCAATTTCCAATCCAGCTCCCTACTAATGGCCTGGGAAAAGCAGCAGCAGATGGCCGAACTGTTGGGCCCCTGCCATTCATGTGGGAGATCTGTGTGAAGCTCCTGTGCTCCTGGCTTTAGCCCAGCCCAGCTCTGGGCCATCCAGGGAGTGAACCAGTGGATGGAGGATCTCTCTCTTTAACTCCCAAAATAAGTAAATAAATCTTAAAAAAAAAAAAAAAAGTAGATGATTTCCCCATTAATTTCTTTATCACAGCACCTAAAATTCAATAAGATCATTTATTTATTTAGTCATTTATTTTTTCAATAGGATCTTATAAGGCAGATGGCCATATGAAAGAAATATTTTCTTAACTGAAGAACAATTAAGAAACTGGATACAAGTAAGGTACCAAAGACAGATGAATTTCTGGGTAATGATTTTTTAAAAAATGGTCATAATGTAGCAAATCAGCTAAGCACGATGCATACCTACTTTTTCTGCAGGGCTCTTAGGGCACACCATAAAACTCTTTCTCCTCCTCCACCAGCATTGCAGTAGGGATGAAAAAATGCAATCACCATTTGATTTTTCCCATTTTTGCTTGACACTGATTTTTTCTTTTTCTGAAGCAGTAGTCTGATCATCCAAAGGACAATGAACAAACATACACATAAAATTCCACACACAATTAGCCCAGGGAAGAACAATGAGTAAAAAAACCTGAAATAAAAGAGAAAAAGTGAAAATCAATGTGATGACCATTAAAAATAACACAAGTTAAAATCTACTTTTACTAATCTCTTCTATATATTAGCAGCAAAGAGAATTTTAGTAATTAGCAAGTTGGCTAACAAAATAGTTATCAAAGTTCTTTTTTAATTATAAAGATCTAATAAACAATGTCAAAGTTTAAGTCACCTTTAATTCCAATTTTCTTTAATTACATGCTAGGAATTTTAAAAAACATTTTATTCATTTGCAAGGCAGAGGGATAGAGAGAGGGATAGAAAAAGGAATCTTCCTTCCACTGGCTCACTCCCCAAATGCCTACAATGGCTGGGGCTGGTCCAGGCTGAAGCCAGGGGCCTGGAACTCCATCCTGGTGTCCCACGGGGGTGTAGGGGCCCAAGTTCTTGGGCCATCATCTGTTGCCTTCCCAGGTGCATTAGAAAAGAGTTGGAGCAGAAGCAGAGTAGCTAAGCCTAGAACTGGCTCTTTGACATCGGAAGCCAGCATCACAGGCTGCAGCTTGATGACGTTAGCCCCAACATGATAGCAATTTAACACACTTAAATCGGCAGTAAAAATCAATATTGTGCTACTTTTCTCCTATTCAGTGTGTATGTAAAGAGATTAAAACCCAAATTTAACAATTAACTAAACAAGACATGATTAGGAATGGCATTTAACTCTCAAAATGACAATTTTTACCTCAAAAATGTGTCTTTGAATGATCAATATTCCATTAGTTAAAAGTTTGGTGACAGAGTAAATCATTTTAATCTCTTATTTCACTGTAAGTAGAATAGTTCCTGGAGTAAAAGATATAGAATTTGGGTTTCTCCAACTCTTCTCAAAGCTCTGTATTTGATCTGTTTATGTGACCTATTTTCTTCTTATATGCCTCTGAATAAGCTGCCAAAAAATCCACTAATGGTCTATTTACTGACATTAGCAATCTCATTCACAAATTGACTATTAAAAGGTTCTCTATTACTGCCAGGCTGACAGAAAAATCTCCAATGCCTACCATAATGCCTTGCCCAGCCCTGGCTGTTGCAGCCATTTGGGGAGTGAACCAGATAAATGAAGATCGTTCATTGTCTCTCTTTCTCTCTGTCACTCTGCCTTTCAAATAAATCTTTTTTCAAAAGTTCTTTAATTCAGTCTGCAAGTTAGACAATCATATAAGAGATTTTCTTTGAGATAGTCATCAGACCTCAGTATGGAAATGTCATATTTACTACCTCCATTCTGTAATACATAATATTAAAAAGATAAGTACTTTGGGGTTCGGAGTTAGCAAAACACTATTTCACCAAGAGTATTTTTTTAAAAATTATTTATTTATTTGAAAGTCAGAGTTACACAGAGAGAGGAGAGGCAGAGAGAGAGAGAGAGAGAGAGAGAGAGAGAGAGGTCTTCCATCCACTGGTTCACTCCCCAATTGGCTGCAATAGCCGAAGCTGCACTGATCTGAAGCCAGGAGCCAGGAGCTTCTTCCGGATCTCCCACCTGGGTGCAGGGGCCCAAGGACTTGGGTCATCTTCTGCTTTCCCAGGCCATAGCAGAGAGCTGGTTTGGAAGTGGAGCAGCTGGGTCTCAAACCGGAGCCTAAATGGGATGCTGGCGCTGTAGGCCAGGGCATTAACCCATTGCGCCACAGAGCCAGCCCCACAACGAGATTATTTTTAAGTGCTAAAAGTAATTTGTGCTAAAGTGATTTTAACTACACAGCGAAAAAAGAAAATGTTATTTTAACATTATTATAAAAACAGTTTGACTTGGAGACTCTCTGAGTCTTAAACCCACAAGGGTCCAAGGACCGTACTTTAAGAATCACTGCCTTAAAGGATGAATAATTTCACATAAGTAATAAGACCTGTCATTCATTTAGCATTAAGAATATATGAGTTCACATGGTTTTTAATTTTTTTTTAAGATTTATTTATTTATTTGACTGACAGAGTTACAGAGAGAGAGGTCTTCCATCCTCTGGTTCACTTCCCAGATGGCAGCATCAGTTGGAGCTGGGCCAATCGAAAGCCATCTTTGGATTGACAAAGCACTTGAGCCATCTTCCATTGCTTTCCCAGGCCATTAACAGGGAGCTGGATTGGAAGTGGAACAGCCAGGACTCAATTAGCACCTACATGGGGAAGCCAGTGACACAGGTAGAGGCTTAACCTACTGTGCCACAGCACAGGTCCCAGGACAGTTGGGACAAGCATCCAAAGTTGTTTTATAGATTCATAGGATATAAACATTTTCATGACAATTCCTTCAAATGACTTAGGTGGGAAATTCAGGTGCCAGGCTTTTCAAAATGACTTAAAATCAGAAAGGGAGGGCAGGCATTTGATGCAGTGCTTAAGTTGCACTTGGGACACTTGCATCCCATGTTGAAGTGCCTGGTTTGGGTCTAGGCTCCTCATCTTCTGATCCAGCTTCCTGTTACTTTGGCAGCAGATGATAGCTCAAACACTTGGAACCCTGCCACCCACATGGGAGACCCAGATTGAGTTCCAGGCTTTTTGCCTGGCCCAGCCTTGGTTTTTGTGGGTATTTGGGCAGTGAAGCAGTGGATGGAAGATCTCTCTCTCTGTAGGTTTGTCCATCTTTCTCCCTTTCAAATAAAATGAAAATAAGTAATTTTTTAATCAGAAAAAAATCTCCACAGTAATGACTGAAGTTAAACCAGTTCTTTGAGTCTCATTAGTTTCAAAGACAGACTTATAAGCTCTACAAAATTTATTAAACACCTAACATGTAGTTAAAATATGTACTATTAAACAATGTATACCAATATTTAAACATAAGACTTGATAACTGTAATCAACAGTGAATAAAAAAAAAAACAGTGAATCACTCAGAAAACATTAACAATTACAACATACAAAGCTCTGAGTGAGGAATATTCCATATGACAGAGGAAGAACATGAAGGCTCTGAGAATAGACTTTCTAATATTTTAAATAATCATTATAGAATTTGAAGCAGAGGATCAAAAATGAAAAAGAAATACCTTAACTTTGGAGAGAATATGTATATACTGTTATTCAGGAAGCCACTGTGTTAATACAAATTTTCAACCTGAACAAAAAATATGTAAGTGTTAAAAAGAACTAGGTGGGTAGCATATAATAAGGCTTCTGTTTTACTAGTGTAGGGCAAGGCATTTAAAACACAGTAGTATTACAACAGCAAATAAGGAAAAAACCTGGGAAATTTTTTTACTGAAATGTTAAAAGTAGTTTTTTCAGCCTGTAGCATTCCTAATGAGTTTTCCTTTACTCATCTATTTCCTAACTTTCCCAGATGAAAAAATACATTATGTATGTGATAAAAATTAAAGATTTTTTATACCTATTCTTTACATCAACCAAGAACTAAATCAACAAATGATCACTCAACAGAAGGTTCCGCATAAACTTTACACTCGTGACATGTGTTAACAATGGCAGTTCTGATGAGTTATGGAAGAGAAACTTAAGAGACGAGAAGGAAGATCCGTTGTCTTCTTTGCAACAGAGAGACCAGACAGACTGGAAAACGAGTACATGACAAAGCTCAATCATAAAGAAATACGAAGAATATATAATTTATGACCGACTAACTGGACTGCTTAGAAGAGAAAGAAAAGGCTGAAACCAGAACGGAAACTCGAGTCTAGCCAGCACTGAATTGGCTAAAATAATTTGGTAAACTGAGTCATAAACAAGACCTTGTCTGCTCCACTTGGAGCAGAGGAAGACCCCAAGCCCGCTCACTGGCCTGAGAAAACAATCTAATGACAGGGAAGGCCATTTCCCCGCAAACGTGGGCTGCACTGGACAGGCAAGTTCCACCACCGCACAGGTAACACCTGCAAACCCACACCACCCGCTGCTCACCTCAACAACTCGCACGCCAACCAACCCCCTTTGGCAGCCGCCATCTTGAGCCGACCCCCGAACTCAGGAAGCCCTTCTGCGTCCCCTTTGTCTATTGGCTCCTCAGGAAGCGTGAGTGTTTCCCCCGCCCCCGCGGGCTGACCCTGTGTCCCAATTGGCTTCTAGTGGTAGCTTCCCACGGCCTTCTAACCAATAGGCATTACGGAGGCGTAGACAGGCTTTTTCAGCGTGGCGCACACGGGTCCCGCCCTCTATGGGCGGGACCGCAGTGGGAGACGGCCTTTGGAGGGCGTGGCTTGTGATGGACAGTCGGCGCTCCCGCCTCGGTCCCCTCCCCCACTGAAACCCCTGCACGGGCTCCCCCGCCCCCAGCCCAGAGCCCGCGGCCGGTTGAAGACCAAATGGGAGGCCGTGGCGCGCCGCGGATCGATCTTCCAGGTGCAAAGTTCACTCCCGCGCCGTTGCCGCGCTTGGGACCCGCGACACCCAACGCGGAGTCCGAGAGGGGGCTGCGCGGAGCGGACCCGGAGCCCCGCCGCGCCACGCCGTACCTTCCCCGCAGGCGGTGGGCGAGCCTTGGGACCTGCTCTTCCCGCCCGGGGCTGCGCTGCTGGCCGGCCTGCCCGCCCCTCCCCACACACAGAAGTCCCAGAGAGTCCCCGGCGCACCGGTTCTCCGCAGCGTAGACGGGGAGGGAGGACTGGCCCCCGCTCTGCGGTCCGGGAACAGCGGAGGACACTGAGGCACCGGCCCGGCCCAGCCGCGTGAGGGTCGGCGCCGCCAGGCCGCCTGGGGTGCGGGTGCGGGTCGGAGGCCCGCGCGCCCCGCAGGTCGGGGGCACGGCGGCGCGCGCCTTGGAATCGCCTCTAAGGGCGAAGGCTGCGGAGTCCCTGGCTCGAAACGGAGGGGCCGGGTCCCAGACCCCTCCTCGGGGACAGCCGAGCCGCACGGATGCCTGCGTCGCCCGCGCCCCGTCACGCCGGCAGTTAACACCGCTCTCTCCTTTGCTGACAGGTGACCTTTGGGCTCTGGGCTGGATCAGAGAAGAAATCGGTGTCTGCGAGCCAAGATGCCTGAGCTGGAGCGACAGGTCGCAGGCAGAGAAGGAGGCAGTCGGAAAGTAAGTTTGTGCGCCCTCCCGCCTTGGGGGGACTCCCGCTACCTGCCGGGGAGGCTGAGCCCCGGGGCCCCGCGTGTGGGACAAAAGCACCTTCATAGAAAGGGCTGGGGTTCAGGAACAACTGAAAACCAGCGCTTGGCTCTTTATCTTCATGCTGTTATGGAATCTGATGCCAGAGAAGTACAGAGTGAGACGTTGGAGTAAGATCTCTTAACTACTCAAAAACAAGTTAGTTGCTAGGCAGGTGCCGGGACCCCCGATGATGTGCCACGGGTTTTTTTTAAAAAGTATCTTTAAAAAAAATCATTCATATTATACAGGTAGCACATTCATGTAGTCCCTTAAAAATGGAGACGGCACGGACATATTTAGCATGAAAGGCAGATCTGCGTTACAGTCCTTTTTCCAGGCACAAATGTTTTTTCATTCGTTCAGCAAATATTTATTGAAACCTGTGTGTTTGGGTCACAATGGTGGAGAGCAGATAGGGTAGTTAAACAAGAGATAGGTAGATATCTATGTGGGTACTTCAAAACTTTTGTGGAAAATGTAATTTAAAAACTGATTTTGGTGCAGAAAACCAAAGGCTATGAGAGGGCCTTCAAAAAGTTCTTAGAAAATGTGTCTTATGAAAAAAGCTACGGGTGAATTTCAAAGGTTTTTTTTTTTTTTTTTTTTTTTGGTTGCACTAAAAGGGAGTTATCTTTTAATTAGGTTTTTGTGAGCTTTTGGAAATACACCCATGCATGCACATGGTTTTTTGTGTGTGCCTTTAAAATTTTTGTTTCACCTGAATGAAATCACATGGTGTGTATTCTTAACCCCACCCCCACCCCAACAATGCATTTTAGAGATTGTTTCACTAAGTGCTGTTTTACTCAGTTTAATCTCTACACAGCATGGTTGCACCATAGCTTATTTGCTGGTGGGTGGACATTCTGGTTGCTCTTCTGTTTTTTTCCTTGCCTCTTGCAAGGGGACATTCTCGTACATCAGTTTTAATGTTGACTAGAGTATTTCAGATAGACACCTAGGACTGGGTTGCTGGTGTGAAGAGTAGTTTCTTCCTTTTCTAAGGATTTCTGAAATGGATTCAGTGATGTTACCGAGTGCTGTTGCATGGTGAAATTTGTCTAGGTTCTGGTGCTAGAGAAATGCAAGATACATGGATGAAAAGGATGGGCAGAGAAATGATTCAGCAGTTGAATCTTACAGTGTGTTGACTCCACATTTGAGCCCGGGTGTGAGGAAAGCACATGTTGGGGAGAGGTGGCTGGTACAGGGGAGACTCCTGGAACCCTCTGCAGTGTCCCCACCAAAGGGAAAAGTCCTTATCCTTCCCGATCAAGCTCAAGCCCCCACCCCTCCTTGAAACCTCTGTAACTGCTCTGGCCTGCGGTGGCCTCACCCTCTTCTGGATTCCTTTGATAATAGCATCAGCCAACGTTATTGAGTTTACCACGTGCTAGGCATTGTATTAAGCATTTTATATCTCTCTATATGCACTTTGTCATCTAATCCCCACAAAACCCTTTGATGAAGGTATTATTGCCTCCTTATGGCCATTTATTCAGCAAATGGTTGTTTTTTTTTTTTAATTTTTTAAATTTATTTTTGAGTCCTATGTGTCAGGCACTCCTGGTGCTGGAGATGCAGGTAAGATCAAGCCCTGCCCTCAAGATATTTATATCCTACTAGGGGATGCAGAGAACAAAGGGTAAACAAATAAATAGTGTTATTTCAGGTACTGACAAGTGCACTAAGGGAAATAAAGCAGGGTAGGGACTTAAGGAAGGAAGATTCTTTCAGTTGACTGTCAGGGAAGGCTTCCCTGGGGAGGTGGCATTTGAGTAGAGACCTGGATGATTCAGATTTCCTGGAGTATTGTAGGTGGAGGAACCACAGAGGGTTGAAGTCCTCAGACCAGAGTTACAATAAGAAATGTAATTTGGTCTTTGATCCGGGTTCCTGTCACAGACCTTCTAAATCCCTTAGGATGTCCTGAGTGATAGTGATCTTTTGTTATTCATAACAGGCCCCCTTCCACATTCCTGAGTTTATGTTAATAAGGTGGCTCTTCAGATGGGGAGGCTAGTTGCTGGAGAAACTAACCTGGTGGTTAGGGGGTTAGGACCAAGAGGGGCTGGAGATTGACTTCATTGCCAATAATCAATGACCCCATCACCAGCAGCTAATAATTTACTCAGCTATGCCTACCAAGCTGAACTTAGATGAAAACTCTTAATGCTGGGGTTTGGAAGTTTCTGGGTTGATGAACAACCCACCCATCCCAATTATATGCCCTGTCTCTTCCATTAGCTCTTCCTGAGTTGTATCCTTTATAATAAACTGTTGGTAGTAAATCGCATTCTTGAGTCCTGTGAGCTGCACTGGCAAATGATCCCACTGAGGAGAAGGTTGTGGGAGCTCCCTGAGCTTAATGACCATTGGTAAGCAGTGTGGCTACTGGTGTCGGAAGTGGGAGGTAGTCTTGTGGAACTGAGTCCTTGCACCATGGGATCTATGCTGACTCCAGGTAGTTAATGTTGGAACTGAATTGTAGGGTACCCAGTTGCTGTCTGGAGAGTTAGGGAACTGGTTGGTATGAAGAAAACCCCCACACATTTGGTGTCAGAAATGCTGTGAATAGAAACAGTACAGAAGTGACCTCAGTGTATGAGAAACAGTGGAAGGAGGAAAGGGGGTGGGAGGGCTAGAATGCTGTGTCATTGCTTCACATGTGGGGAAACTGAGGCAGAAGTAATAACTTGCCCAGAGTACCTTGCTAATAAGAAGATGTAGGGTTGAGTCCTGGTCAGGACTGTCTAACTTTTCTTAGGTACATATTCTAAACTAACTTGACACTTGGTCATACCAATTGGTAGGATTATTTAAATCAATAAATAATAGGCCGGTGCCGCGGCTCACTAGGCTAATCCTCCTCCTTGCGGCGCCGGCACACCGGGTTCTAGTCCCGGTTGGTGCACCGGATTCTGTCCCGGTTGCCCCTCTTCCAGGCCAGCTCTCTGCTGTGGCCCGGGAGTGCAGTGGAGGATGGCCCAAGTGTTTGGGCCCTGCACCCCATGGGAGACCAGGAGAAGCACCTGGCTCCTGCCATTGGATCAGCGTGGTGCGCTGGCCGCAGCGCACCAGCCGCGGCGGCCATTGGAGGGTGAACCAACGGCAAAAGGAAGACCTTTCTCTCTGTCTCTCTCTCTCACTGTCCACTCTGCCTGACCAAAATAAATAAATAAATAATAGCTTTTCTTTGCAACCCTGTTTTTTCTTTTTTTGAGTTATTTATTTGAAAGGCAGAGCCACCCAAAAAGAGATTTTTTTTTTTTGAAGATTTATTTATTTGAAAGGCAGAGTTACAGAGAGGTAGAAATAGATAAAGAGAGATCTTCCATCTGCTGGTTCACTCCCCAGGTGGCTGCAACAGTCAGAGCTGTGCCAATCCAAAGCCAGGAGCCAAAAGCTTCTTCCGGGTATCCCATGTGGCTGTAGGGGCCTAAGGACTTGGGTCATCTTCCACTGCTTTCCCAGGCCATAGCAGAGAGCTGGATTGGAAGTGGAGCAGCTGAGACTCGAACCAGTGCCCATATGGGATGCTGGCACTGCAGGTGGTGGCTTTATCCATTATGCCACAGTGCTGGCCCCCAAAAAGAGATCTTACATCCTCTGGTTTACTCCCTAAATGGCTGCAGTAGCTGGGGCTGTGTCAGGCCAAAGCCAGAAACTCCTTATGGGTCCCCCACATGGGTGTCAGGGACTCAAGTACTTGAGCCATTACCCACTGCCTCCTAGGTACATGAGCAGGGCGCCAGATTGGAAGCAAAGTAGCTGAGACTTGAACCAGACTCCAACATGAGATGCAGGTGCCAGAATGCCCACCCACTCCCACCTCCCAGGGCTTCGCTTCATTCAAGAACAAAGAAATTGCAGCATGATATCCCCCACTTCTTTTCTTCTCAGAGGCCTCTCTGTGGGGCAGCAGTGACCAGGTG